GAAGCTTCCTCGAACATCTCACAGCCGTAAAACCCCCCAACCCAAGACCCAAACCCAAAACCCCAAAACCCCAAAACCCCAAACCCCAAAACCCCAAAACCCCCAAAACCCCAAAACCCTAAAACCCCAAAACCCCTAAACCCAAAAACCCCAAAACCCCAAAACCCCTAAACCCAAAACCGAGCTCTAGAGCCCCAAAGCATGTCCTACAAGCCCCTTAAGCATCCTCAAGCCCTAAACCTTGGTTAGGGTTTAGGGCGTGCAGAATTTTTATGGGGTTTGGGTCCCAAAAAGTGTTGACCAAAAGTTTTGACCGAAACCTTTTGACTCGAGTTTGCTTTTTGGATGCTATTGTGGCATTTTTTGGGGTGGGCCGATGGGGTGGTCCGGGCTTTTCTTGGTGTCGTGGGGGCCTTCTGGGGCCGTTTGGTGCCTCCTGGGGCCTTTTGGTGGGGTCTTGTTCTGCCTTTTTGGGCATTTTTGGTGTTTTGGGGCCTTTTGAGCATTCGGGCTTTCTTGGAGCTTCCCGGACCTAGGAGGGATCTGGGAGGTGTCTGGTCTGAGGGTCTGAGGGGTTTGCGTGAATTGAACTGAAGTGAACTGAATACTCGCCTTGCCAAAAGCGATTTGAACAAATTTACTTAAACTCGGCTTGTCAGCTGTTTAGACGAATAACATGGGAAATTCAGAGTGATATCACATACAGCTTCTATCTATTTGTCTTGAGGGTTTAGGGGTTTGGGTTTAGGGTTTAGGGTTTAATTAGGGTTTAAGGTTTAATTAGGGTTTAGGGTTTAGGGTTTAGGGTTTAGGGTGTAGGGCTCTTGGGGTCTACATTCTCAAAGGGCCCCAAGCTCCTCCTCCTCCGCCCAGCGCCGGAGCTCGCCGGCCCAGTGCCGTAGCTCCTTTGGGAGGCCACTGGAGTGGTTTAGGGGTTCAGGGTTGAGTGTTTTAGGGTTTAGGGGGTTTAGGGGGTTTAGGGTTTAGGGTTTAGGGTTTAGGGTCTAGGGTCTGGGGTTTAGGGTTTAGGGTTTAGGATCTGGCAAATCCAGGAGGGTGGATCTTCGGGGCTGACAGGGACTTCGGGCTGGGAGGGGTTGGCGGTGCGGGCCGCGGTTCCGGGAGTCCTAGGAGGGCCTTCAGGATACCGACCCGGAAATCCCAAAATTAGGGTTTAGGGTTTAGGGTTTAGGGTTTAGGGTTTAGGGTTTAGGGTTTAGCCGCAAACCCTGATGTAAACTCTACACCTCAATACTTGGTAGCCCAGTAAGCATCTTACAATATGGGTGCCGCCTTTTTTGGGGCTACCGAGAATGCCCAAAAAAGAGCTGCACCAGCGGTTGTTGTTGCTCCTTCAATGCTTCTTGGGTGCTTCGCTTCCCCGAGCCGTGAACCGGTTCCATAAGATTTAGAGTTTAGGGTTTAGGGTTCGGGTACCCTCTTTTGGGACGCGATCACACTGCGAATCGCAATCGCAATCACCATAAGGAGACTAAGCAGCCATGAAACAGGTAGTTAGGGCAGAAGCCTCTTCTTTCGACAAGCCGCCAGCCCTCAATCACTAGCTTCCCTGGAGAAGGGGACCAGCGACTGAAAAGGGCCACATTGCGTAATGGACCTTAGTATCATGCACTTATCCTACGATGATTATGCTTGCGATTTTGCGAATACGCTCATTATTGTTAGGATGACCATGATTGCTAACGCGGGCCCGATTCCTGATTTACGACGGGCAAGGATAGTTGTAGGGTTAAGTGTTCCAAGATTGCTAGGCAATGGTAAGGCACGCTTCTGGTCAGAAGGCTTACTTAGGAGAACAGGGTCTAAACCCTGAACCCAACTCTCAATTTTAGCCTTACCCTCTATAGAAACCCAAAACCCCACTAAACCCTAAACCCAAATCTCCTAAGCCCTAAGCCCTAAACCCTAGCCCCCAACAAAGCCTCGGCGTGCTCCGCCGCGCTCTTATGGGTGGAAGTGCTGCCCGTGTCTCCGCCTCGGTGTTTTTTTAAACCCTGAAGCCGTACACCCTAATCAGGTTTAGGGTTTAGGGTTTAGGATTTAGCGGGTTGTGGGTTGTGGGTTTAGGGTTTAGGGTTTAGGGTTTAGGGTTTAGGGTTTAGGGTTTAGGGTCTAGGGTCTAGGGTCTGGGTCTAGGGGGCTTACAGGGCTCAGGTTTTTCGCGGTGCAGCCCTACCTCCTGTGAAGTGCAGCCTTGAAACCAGTTGCCCCCCCCCCCCCCAGGGTTTAGGGTTTAGGCTTAGGGTGTAGTAATAAGGGCACCATTTGTTGGGATAAGGGAACCCTGAACCACAAAAAGGAAAAAGGGTACGACTGGGCTACCCAGCCCCTCCCCATCTTCCCACTCCCCTTTTTGGTTTAGGCTTCAGGGTCTAAGGCTAGTTGCTGAGTACCCTGGGCCATAAAAAATCAATCGAGGAGGATTCTCCCTAAAACGGTTAAAGGTTACCTACTCAGCTACTAAGTAGGGCTTCGCAGGATATGACTATAGTTGCCCCAGCTACTTATGACCCCACTTATAACTACTACGGACCCCCAAGTAGGCTCTAGGGCTGAGTCGGCTCGGGATCCTCAAGACCCAAGACCCTCCACCCAACACCTGCCCCTCCCCTAAAGTAAAGGGGGATATAACAGAACTGTTGAAAATACTCCAGGCTGTGACATCCCAAGGTGCATCAGGTGTGAGGCGTGAGGTTGTGCAGTGTCTAGTTTTACGTTCGCTGTTGCTATTTTGGTCTAGGGGAAGGCTACGGAAACCCCTTAGAGCCAGAATTCATGTCAATATCTTCTAGCATGTACAGTGTACAGAGTAGCTAGAGACAAGCTTGAATTTTGCGTTTTTGTTTGACGTTGTTGTCTTTAGAGTCGTACTTCAAAGCATCTGTTGCCCAGCCATGGAAAAAACAACGCGTGAACTCCGTCAACTGCACATGCAGTTCAATAGGTGATGAGCCCAACGCCTGGGCAAGATGACAATGTCGCAGCAGAGTCTAGGACACGAACCTCTACAGCTGGACCCCTGGCCCAAACTGAACCACTGCACGAAGAACAGATGGCAGGAGTGGCAACAGGAGTCTTGGATAGAGGGAGCAATGGACTTTGATGCAAAGTTCCACCTGCGGGACTGCCGATGCGCCGAGGGTGGCTATAGCTGCAACTTCTTCATCGCAGAGTCGCGATCTGTTTATGGGACAAGCCACGAGGAACTATCGGATTGACGCTGAGGGAGGCAGAACAAGCTACAACCAAGGTGCAGCAGAACGAGAAGGTGGAACACACGAGGCTTTGCAAGCCTTTGGCGCAGCACTGCCGGAGACTTCAAGGTCCTTGGGAGTACGTTCCCAGACCCTGCCAAGCCAGTCAATGCCAGTAGGGTTTGGTTGGTTGGATAGGGTGAGGAGTTTATTCCAGGGTTGGGGTCCTGCGCAGTTGGTGATGCAAGCTTGGATGCTGCCACAAGTGCCGAACCTTTTTCAGGAGGCAGCACAGGCTGAGGTGTCCGCGCAGCTTGCAGGAATGAGGCAAGAACGGGACGCCCAAAGGAGCGAGAACGCGAGACAGGTGCTTCAGGGAGCAATCGCTCCACCGCCGCAGCCTGCAGCGTTGGTTTTGAGCAGTGGGTTGCGATTAGGCTCCGGCATGGTGGGTGATAGCATGGTTGGGTCTGGGTTGCCGAGTGCGCCGTCAGTGCCCCCCTTGCCCCAAGTACCTTCAGGCCCTAATCCCCCTTCCTGCAGCAGACGAAGCTGGTCTCGCCGGTCCAACGTCAGGGACTGGGGGTGGCAGACCGAGGCCACAGCAGCAGAGCTCACAAACCTCACAGAAGGCAAGACACACAGGATGAGGAGCAGGATGCACAGGACCACGAGAGCCTCAGCTTGCGCTGCCAAGCGGACCAGCGCAGAACTCACAGGTGTCACCTGAGGCTTGCGCGCCGTCAGGTGATCAGGCTTCCGATGGCCCAAGCCAGCGGAGCAACGCCGCCCAAGCGGGGAAGGCCGTACCCTGATGCCTTTCTTGCCCAGCCTTGCAAGCAAGCTGCGCCGCTCGTGAAGAGCATATGTGCACTAGAACGTGATGTGCCGCTCATGAAGAGCATATGTGCACACAGCCTTAATTGAATTGCCAAGCACAGGAGTAACGCGACGAGCTTGCTCCTTGTTGCCAAGTTCCGCACCCTAAGTGGTTTAAGGTTTTCTAATTAAGCTTTCTTAGTGCCCGAACCCGTGTGCAGAAGGCCTGTTGCACTCCCTTGTGCGCCGGGGGCAAACCGGCCAGGCCACCCTAACGCCCTAATTTCTTCAGTGCACTTGAGTGTATAGTTTGGACGTCCTGACATGAATAAACCCTCAAAGCAAACTGGACTGATCACCCAGGGAGCTGATTTGCAAGTTTTGCTCATTGCTGGTTTAGACGGAATAAGCCCCGAACCTCCAAGACCTTATGCCGCATTTGCACAGATGCACACCGTGCAGTCCACTGAAGCCCGCCAAGCAGGCGAGGCCGGCCTGCGCATGCTGTCTGAACAGCCTGTGCAGAGCGCAGTGTGTGGCGTAGGTCTGGCGACCACACCAAGGAGGAGTGTTGAAAATACTCCAGGCTGTGACATCCCAAGGTGCATCAGGTGTGAGGCGTGAGGTTGTGCAGTGTCTAGTTTTATGTTCGCTGTTGCTATTTTGGTCTAGGGGACGGCTATGGAAACCCCTTAGAGCCAGAATTCATGTCAATGTCTTCTAGCATGTACAGTGTACAGAGTAGCTAGAGACAAGCTTGAATTTTGCGTTTTTTGTTTGATGTGTTTGTCTTTAGAGTCGTACTTCAAAGCATCTGTTGCCCAGCCATGGAAAAAAACAGCGTGTGAACTCCGTCAACTGCACATGCAGTTCAATAAGACCCCTCAACCCTAAGCCCTAAACCCTAAACCCTAAACCCTAAACAAGGGCCTACTCTGGGTCCTAGCCCATGAGCCGCTGAGTCGCTGCCCAAAGGCCAGCGCATCTCAGGAGCTTCGAAAAGGGGAGCAGTCTCGGACTGGCTCTGCCTGGAGGTGGATTTAGGGTTTAGGGTTTAGGGTTTAGGGTTTAGGGTTTAGGATTCAAACGAACCCACCCCATGACCTTCAAAAACTGGGCGAACACTCCTTGCCCCCTAAGCACCCTACAAGCCCTCAACCTGCGACACCACTCCGAAACCTGGAGCCACTCCAGGGTAGATGGGAAAAATGCCCTAAGCCATACCCTAAACCCTAAACCCTACGGCCCAGGTAATCAGGTGCTGCACCCACAGACGTAAACAACCTCCGGCCAACAAGCCCGCACAAACTTCTACTTTCAGAAGCCCCAACACCGTTCTTGGGGACCCAAGCCCTAAAACCTGAACTCCCCCTCGCCCAAAATATACATGCACACGCAAATACATATATGAATAAATACATGAACATAACAACTCTTTTTAATACATATATATATACATACATATACATATATATTAATATATATATATATAGGTATATAAATATATATATATATATAGGTATATATAGGTATATATCTTTATTCATTCATTTATGTAGTTATATATTTATGTAACCATCGGGTTTAGGGTTTGCGGTAGGGTCAAGGAAGGCTGGGGCCTCCTTTCGGCTCCTGGTGGATGCTCCTCTTGGGAAGCTCGGTGGGCCGCCCTGGCCTTCGGAGCTCAGGCTCGCTTTGAACTGGCGGCTTAGGGTTCAGGGTTCAGGGTTCAGGGTTCAGGGTTCAGGGTTCAGGGTTCAGGGTTCAGGGTTCAGGGTTCAGGGTTCAGGGTTCAGGGTTCCGGGTTCAGGGTTCAGGGTTCAGGGTTCAGGGTTCAGGGTCAGGGTTTAGGGTTTAGGGTTTAGGGTTAGGGTTAGGGTTTAGGGTTAGGGTTTAGGGTTTAGGGTTAGGGTTTAGGGTTAGGGTTAGTGTTCATCTTGGGGACATTCCCCCTTCATGCTAACAGTCCCTTTTACTAGGGGGGGGGGGGGGTACTAGAATCCCTAGTAAGGACTCTTCGTGTAAGAGGAAATAGGTTGCAAGTGGACTTCGGATTGGGGCCCATGAACCTCCAAGTGGGGTTGCAAATTGGGTTCGGGAGGACAAAAGGCGACCTTGATGCTCGCTGCGATTTCGTGTTGGGCGGGGGTTGGGGGCCGGGGGGGGGGGGGGGGGGGGGGGGGGGGGGGGGGGGGGGGGGGGGGGGGGGGGGGAGTGGAAAAGACCAAGTAGAAATACGACCCTAGTAGTGAGTCAGTCTCGTCAAGTATCGGGGGTTCTGGGTTTTGTTTGGACTGGTTGCACTGGGACCCTAAACCCTAAATTGGGCTCACAAGCCCTAACCCCTAACCCCCAAACCCTAAGGAAAGGGCTCATAGGGCCTTGGGAAGGCTCAAGCCGTCAGCCAAGCAAGTCCATACCCTAAACTTACAGGCATACTGGCATGGACTGAGGTACTGTCCCCCCCCCAACCCAGTGTCTAGGTACCGTTAGGTACCAATGTCAGAGAGCCCGCTGTATAGTAATGTTCACGACAATTCTTGCCCACACTTTACATTACCAACTGCTACCCTAAATCCTAAAACCTAAGATTGCCAAATCGCAGACCCCTAGACTATCCGACACATACTCATCTCGGCCCCTAAAACCTTGTTGGTTCCTTCGAGCTCCGAGGTGGGTCATGGGATACTCTCAAACTCTGCCAGCAACATCTGTAAGAAACCTCCCTGAACACCTTGGTAGCCCAGCAACCATACCATGACAAGGGCACCCTTTTTTGGGATTGGTCATTTTAGGGTTTAGGGTGTTAGGTGTTAGGGTTTAGGGTTTAGGGTTCCCAGCACCAAAAAAAGGGAAAAGGGTACCACTGGGCTACCAAGACAGTAGGCCCTACGACCTGTAGGTTTGAAGCCCTTTTTCGCCCCAACCTGAAGCCCTGAGATCGCCCCTAAACCCTAAACCCTAAACCCTACACCCTAAACCCTAAACCCTAAACCCTAAACCCTAAACCCGCCCTGAACCCTAAGCCCTACAGTGACACCCAACATCCACTGCAAGGGTCCTCCTCGAACTCCGCTCGGGCATCCTCAGCCTGCCTCCAGGCCTCCTACCGGAGTAGTTTAGGGTTTAGGGTTTAGGGTTTAGGGATATTTAGGGTTTAGGGTTTACAAGGTGTAGGGTTTGGGGGTTTAGGGTTTAGGGTTTAGGGTTTAGGGTTTACGGCGTAGGGTTGAGGGTTTACAAGGTGTAGGGTTTGCAAGTTTAGGGTATTTAGGCGGTATTTAAAACCCGAAGGTTCAGGTCGAGTTCGGGGATGACTATCGGCGCGACTTGTGCCTGGCTTTGCCCTGGCCTGAGCCCCATAAATCCCGACCCCTATCGGGTTATTAGGACGATTCATGTCAATGTCTGTTTAGGACTTCGGGTTTTGGGTTTGGGCGACTTTTGTTTGCTTGTTTTGTTTCATGATTTTTTGAGGGCATCACGTTAGCGTCCAAAACCCTAAGCCCTACCCTACAACCCGAAACCCTAAAACCCTAGAACCCTAACCCTAACACTCTAAACCCGAATTCCAAAAACCCCCAAAACCCTAAACCCCTAAACCCTAAACCCTAAACCCCTAAACCCTAAACCCTAACACTCTAAACCCTAACTCCTAAACCCCAAAAAACCCTAGCAGGGGCTAACGCATGCCATCTGAACCCAAACACCGCCTCTCACAACTTTGGAGAACTGGAACCCCCAAAGATCCAAGGGTTCTAGTAACGGTTCTAGGGATTTGGGGGTTTAGGGTTTAGGGTTTAGGGTTTAGGGTTTAGGGTTTAGGGTTTAGGGGTTCTAGGGTTTCAGGGTTTTGGGGTTTAGGGCTCTGTGGTTTAGGGCTCTTGGGGTTTTGGGTTACCTTAAAGACCAAGCCGACAGTTTAATGTAGGGGTTTAAGGGTTTAGGGTGTTAGGGTACAGGCCTCGAACGCAAACACTACATGTCGAAAAAACACCTTTCCACCGTTCCCTCCCTCAAAAAACAGCAGTAAATAAGACATCACCGTTGCCGCAAGACGAACCGACGCAAGCAAATAACTTTACTGAGCGTCTTGTAGCTTATTTACTATCAAAGCCCTTAAGGGGGTTTTTAGGTAGTCTACAAAGAAGGGCATACCTACAAACAAAGGCATTGGCTTCTTACAGTAGGGACTTACCCTTAGCTACCTCCTCCAAAGAGAGAGCGAGAGCGAGAGAAAGAGAGAGAGAGAGGGAGGGAGAGAAAGAAGAGTCTGCACCTAAGCCCCCCCCCCCCCCCCCCGAACCTTGCACTCCCGGCCCAGAACCCTAAGTCCTAGGGTTAGGGTTCAGGGTTTAGGGTTTACAGTTTCGAGTTTAGGGTTTAAGAAACCCTAACATCTCCGAAGTTGCTGGCGCTGGCATAAGAAGAAGGCCTCTTCATGTTTGCGAGCAGCTTCCTCTTCGGCGCGCTGCCTGGCCTCCTCTCATGCATGGCGTGTCACCCTAAACCCTAAAGGGTTTTAGGGTTTAGGGTTTAGGGTTTAGGGTTTAGGGTTTAGGGTTTACTAAACCCTGGAAACCCAAAACCATTATAACCCCTAACCTTAAACCCTAAGCCCTGAACCCTGAACCACAAGAAACTTTTCTCTGAATCCATGTCTTCTAGAAAGGACTCGCAACCAAGGTCCACTCGTAGTACCGAAAGACAGCTAGATACTCCGGACAACTCCTTGCCACCAAGCCCTAAACCCTAAACCCTCAACCTTCCACGGAGGGCCCTGGTACCCTTATCAATTATATATATATGTATGTATGTATATATATATATCTCTCTATCGATCAGGGAAGTGTAACTTAATTAGTTTCTCGTAACTGCCACCCGATTGAGGGCCCTCAGAACACTACTTGTACTTGGGAGGGGGCGCCTCCTTGTATAAACCCCAAACGACGACTTCTCCGTCCTCCTCGCGCTTGTGCTCCGCTTGGGCCTGTTCGGCGTGCCGGCGGGCCTGGCAGAGGGGAGGGTCTTATGAAGTAACCCTAAACCCTAAACCCTAAACCCTAAACCCTAAACCCTAAACCGGGATTGCAGAAGGCCTGCAGGGCTTTAGATGGGTTCAGAGGGCTGGTACGGGCTTCTCGGTTTATGGGGGTAGCGGAGAAGCCTTAGAACCCTAAACCCTAAACCCTAAACCCTAAACCCTGAACCCTAAACCCTAAACCCTAAACCCTAAACCCTAAAGGCTTCAAAGGGGGTGCACAGACGTAAGCAATCTCGACCTCAGTAGGTCCTCCACACCTTACTTCGTGAACCCAGAACCCAATCATTGTACAAACATTGATGTCTACTTAACTAACTACATCCCAAAGACAAAATCCAAATACCCCAGGGCTAAGGGTTATCTAGCAGGCCCACTTACGTCCACAGATCCAACTCTTGCCAACCTGTAGTTCGGTGCCCCAAACCCCGTATGTGGTCTTCACTTTTTGTGAGGGTGCCTATAGTCCAGAAATGTACCAAAAGTCGTCCCTCTGTCATATACCCTCTACTACTAGAATTCCTACTAAGGTATATGAACCATAAACCCTTTTAGGGTTCATTTCGTCCCTCTGGGAATGCATCCTCCTCGCGCTCGCGCTGTGCTTTAGCTTCAGCAAGGCGCCGGGCCTCCTGGATCAAGGGCGCCGGAGTTTCGCTAAAGATGGCGCCCTCTCTGGGGCCTGTTCACCTATTGTATTGTGGTTAGGGTTTAGGGTTTAGGGTTTAGGGTTTAGGGTTTAGGGTTTAGGGTTTAGGGTTTAGGGTTTAGGGTTTAGGGTTTAGGGTTTAGAAGTTGAAGAACTTCCCATATGACCTCTCGGGTGTTCTCTGCATCTTCAACCCAAGAAGCTCAGATCCAACAGCTAAGAGATGTCTCGTTCTGGGACACAGTGTGGCTAAAGGTCTGCGCTCTCTTTGTTGAGGCCAGAACTTTTGGGTGCTTTAAAAATTTAACGGCCATGCCATAGAAGTGTTTGGGTTTATGTTGACTGTATACGGTCGTAGGGTTTAGGGTTTATGTTTAGGGTTTAGGGTTAAGGGTTAAACGACTCCATACGAATTCATCCTCTTCACGCTTGTGTTCGGCTTCAGCTTCGGCAAGACGGCGGGCCTCCTTCGCAAGGGGGCAAGGGGCTTTATCAGCCTAGAGGCTGGCTTGTGACGTTTTCTTGGGAGGGCTTCTTGGCCATTGGGTTGAGAGGGCGCGTGGGGCGCATGGCTAATTCGGAGACGATACGGCATGTAGTTTTGCAAGGATGGCGGTTGAACCGACCGAGGCTTGCCATCCTCAATCGCTTGAGGGACTTCCGGCCAAACCCTAAACCCCAAACCCCAAACCCTAAACCCTAAACCCCCTCAACCCCACATCCCTTAACCCCAATTCCTTCAACATGTTCGGGCACATTGGGGGGAGGGGTGTCATATGGGGGTTTACGAGATTGGGTACCTTGGGGTCCCCTTCTTATAAGGGAATCCTACTATTTTGGGGGTCTGCTACGAGAGGTCCCGTCTTTTTCCTACACCCCCATATCCGTTGGAGGGAAATACTTCTGTAGAGTGCCTGATTGGAGCCTTACCCTGAGGGTCCATGTACCTAAATAGGGAAGACTTCGGCTTTATAAAGTACTTCCTACCAGTATATAGGGACTGTGGGGCTGAAATATAGTTATAATAAGGTACATGGACCCTTAGGGTTACATGAAAGAACCCAAAACCGTGAACCCTATCCCTCAGCCTCTGAGACCTTTCATGCGCGGACATTGGGGGCCAGAGGCTGCGCATACATGAGGTTCTGAGGGCTTTTGAGCCAGAGGGTAAACTCCAAGCGACTTCGTCCTCTTCGCGCTTGCGCTCTGCTTCCGCTTCGGCAAGACGGCGCGCCTCCGTCGCAATTGCGCAAAGGGCTGTATCAGCTTGTCGGCCCGGATGCTGGCTGGTGATGTTGTGGAGGCCTAGGGTTTAGGGTTTAGGGTTTAGGGTTTAGGGTTCAGGGTTTCGGGTTCAGGGTTTAGGGTTTAGGGTTTAGGGAGGCTTACTGGGCTCATGCGGTGTACATGCTGGTGTGTAAGGTTTTCTCCTGTGATTTTCTTCAACGGCGGTTGGACATATGCTTGCCATCCTCACATCACCTCAAGGACTGCCAGGACACCCTCGAATATGGTGAAGCCCCTGTTCCTGCCTGGAGCATGAACGATCCCAAAAAACCCGAAAAACCCTGAACCCGAAACCCTATCCCTAGGCTTTAAGATGAAGTTTTTTGGTTTTGGAGGAGCCAGAGCAAATATGTGAGGCAGAATTACGGGCCAGTTTGTTCCCCCAAACGACTTCGTCCTCTTCGCGCTTGCGCTCTGCTTCAGCTTCGGCAAGGCGGCGAGCCTCCTTCGCAAAGGGGCAAAGGGCCTGGAGGCTGGCTTGTGACGTAGTGTTTGGAAGGCTAGAAGGAGGTCGCAGGCGCACAGGAAACCTGGACACGGATTGACGCAAACAGGTTTGGCCTGGGTTTTGGGCACCAAAGGTTGGGCGCTACCCAGCCTGGCAGCCAACCAGGGAATCACGACAGCATAGTGGATTGCTGAAAAACATCGCAAAAACCGATGTTTCATAATCTGTTATCTCAAAGAAAGTGCAAAGAATATGTACAGTAGAGTACGTCAGCAAGTGGCCGCCAGAGCCGTGCAAGGACAGTTTGCGAGGCGAAGGATCTTCTGCCATGGCAATCGCACGGCCCAAGCCCTAAACCCAAAATTTAATGGGCATTGGTAGTAGGGTTTGGGGTTTAGGGTTTAGGGTTTAGGGTTTGGTAGTACATAGGCATCATGGATGCTATTTTGGCTATGCATGCCCTGGGTAGTGAACATACTGGTACCATGGATGTTCATAAGGTGTGGAAACGCATGCTCTGGGAAGTGAACATACTGGCACCATAGATGCGATTAAGGTTTGGCTAGGCATGCTCTGGGATGTGAACATACTGGTACGCAAGCACCTGAAACTACCAGGGTTTTTGATGTGTCTGACTCATGAGGTTTATAGTGCTGGCTTATAGGGTTGTTTTCGCTTGTTTGTTTTTCAATGGCGGCTGAATACACATCCTCACATTACTTAAAAACCCCCTGCGCCCAGCGGAATGCTTCTTGGCAAGCCCGATTTCAAGCGACTTCGTCCTCTTCGCGCTTGCGCTCTGCTTCCGCTTCGGCAAGACGGCGAGCCTCCTTCACAATTCCGCAAAGGGCTCTATATATATATACAGATATATACATGCATATATATATATATATATATATCAGCCAGGAGGCTGGCTTGTGATGTTGTGGAGAGGGCTGTTCGGACACATGAGGTTTGTTGTAGAACTTAAGGATTTTGGGGTAACTTTTTGGGTCTCTAAGCTCCCATCAATCTAAGAAACATTCAACATACCCCCTGGGCACAGCCTTAAAAGAATTTCAGGGGCATGGGAAAATCCCTCCTTATATTCTCCTGTTAGATTGGAGGCTTTAGGCTGTGGGTTGCTTTCTCATCTGCTTCTTTTCTGTGTCGGTTGAATCTATGCATGCTATCCTCACATCACCTCGGGGACTGGTAGGACTCCTGTGCCCAGGGGAATGCTCCTGGGCAATCCCGATTTCAATGAAGTCCTTTTTCCTGCCTGGAACATGAACGAGCCCACAAACCCAAAAAGCGTGAACCCTATCCCGAGTCCATAAGATCTCTTCATCCGAGCATCTGTTTAATTTAATACCTCCACATTTGAAGAAACGTTTTTTCGTCGAAAGTCCGGCTGCAAGACTACTTTCCATTACGTGGGTTTTCGTATGGGGAAATACCACCACATTTAAAGGAAAAAACCCGAGGGGGTTCAAAAATCTGTCTGCAGGCTTCTTTTTGTTGCTTGCTGAGCTGCAGTTTGGATCGGTCAAACTACACACACATTCCTATTGTTTTTAATAGAGAAACAATACATTGCCATGGTCTAATTATTGCGGCGCCCTGCCTGTCTTATTGCGCTAGGGGGGGCGGGGGGCCCCACTAATTAAACAGATGCTCGGATTACTTGTGAAGAGGCTAGACTATATGAGGTCTTGGGGCCATTCTGACCTTGATATACGAGGCATAGAGATCATGTTGAGCCTAAGGGCAAACCCCAAACAACTTCGTCCTCCTCGCGCTTGCGCTCTGCTTCTGCTTCCGCAAGGCGTCGAGCCTCCTGCGCAATTGGGCAAACGGCTTCATCAGCCTGCAGGCTGGCTTGTGATGTTCTGGGTCTAGGTTCCGAGGTGTTATGAGCTTTGGGGCTCATTGAGTTTATAGAGCTGTCTTGTAGACTGGCGTTTGAAATGTTATAGCCATCCTCAATCGTTTGCAGGACGTCCAGAAGTCCTAGGCCTTGGGGGAATGGTTCTAGGGAATGTCGGCTTCAGTGTATGTCTTGAGGGGCCAGCAGCTATGCAACAGATCTTGGGGGCTAAGGAAACCACAAACGACTTCGTCCTCTTCGCGCTTGCGCTCTGCTTCAGCTTCGGCAAGGCGGCGAGCTTCCTTCGCAACTGGGCAAAAGGCGTTGTCAGGTTATCGGCCTGGAGGCTGGCTTGTGACATTGTGGAGGGCTTATAGAGTGCATGATGTGTAGAGTGCGTATATAGGGTGTAGTCCGTGCAGGGTTTACAGGTGAGTTGGTTCGTTCGTTTTGTTTGCAATGGCGGTTCTATGTTATACGCTGGCCGCCGCTTTAAAGATTACTCCCAAGCCCATGGGAATGATTCTAGGGAATGTCGGTGACGATGACATCCAGGTTCTTGCCTGGATGAACCTGAAACAGAATCCTAGGTTCTGAAACCACATCATTGTGGTGTTTGGGGGGGCCAGAGGCTATGCCATCTGCGGGTTTGAGGACATTCTGAGCCTAAAGGAAACACCCCAAACGACTTCGTCCTCTTCGCGCTTGCGCTCTGCTTCCGCTTCGGCTAGACCTCGCGCCTCCTTCGCAAAGGAGCAAAGGGCTTTATCAGCTTATCGGCCTGGAGGCTGGCTCGTGACGTTTCGGGTCTGACTGTTAGAGGCTTCTACATGGCTCGTTGCTAAAGTTGAAGGAAGGATCGCAGTTGTAACCTACCACGCTTGCCATCCGATTCATCCGTTTCAGCCAGTCCTGAACTCCAAACCCTAAACCCTAAACCCTAAACCCTCAACCCTGAACCCCAAGCCCCTAAGCCCGTCCTCCTCCCGTCGGCGCTGGGCTTCGGCTTCGGCAATCCGACACGCCTCCTTCTCTCGCTCCCTCTCTCTCTCTCCCTCTCTGCCTCCTTCTTCTTCTGCAGGGCTTGAAGGGCAGGGGTACGCGTCCCTCTCCTCTCTCCCCTCTCCCGTCTCCCCTCCCCCTCTCTCTCTCTCTCTCTCTCTTCCTCTCTTCCCCTCTTCCTCTCCCCTCTGTCTCTCTGTGTTTCGGGCTTCTAAAAGGGAACCAGGGTCAGGGGTTGACGGCTTGGCGTTTTCGGGGCCTGCAACGCTGGCCTCTGTAGCATCTTGCTCGGGGTTTGGGGTTTTAGAGGCCACGACAACCCTAAACCCTAAACCCGAAACCCTAAACCCTAAACCTAAACCCTAAACCCAGACCCCTAAGCTCTCACGCCCTCTCCCCGCTCTCTTGCCTAACTCTTATTGTCGCTCCGACCCTCAAAATTCGCGAAGACAGATCGTGAGCTCAATGATTGCCTTGTCTTTGGGTTTAGGGTTTAGGGTCAGGGTTTTGGGTCTAGGGTTTTGGGTTTAGGGTAGCCCGAGCGAAGTGATCGAGTGATCTTTGTGACATGTTTTGCTCTCTTCTCACTTTCAGAAAGCAGGGGCTTGGTAGAAGAACTCCATTCGCACCCTACAACTAAAACACCCTAAACCCTAAAGCCCCTAAACCCCAAGAACTCTGCACTTTCCAAGCCCTGTAAATCCAGGCCGTATAGCCCCTCAATTCCCTTTTGTAGACCGACCTTAAGCTCAAACCTCGCAGCTCAACAAACTTTTGACATCACAACAAAAGGGACCCCAACAAAGCCTAAACCTAAACCCTTTTCTGAGGACCAAATGAACTCTAATAGTTGGGGTCATATACCTATGCTACTATAAACCCTATATTCGGGCTCTGAGCCATAAACCTTGCAGGGTTCATGTGGTCCTAAACCCTCGAGTGGGTTCGGGCTGACTCGCAGGGGTCGCAAGGCGTCCTCTTCCTCTCGCCTGCGCTGGGCTTCCTCTGCGGCCTTTCGTCGGACCTGCATCCTAAACCCTAAACACTGAACCCTAAATCCTAAACCCTAAACCCAAACCGCTAAGCCCTAAACCCTAACCCTAGGCCCTAAACCCTAAAGCCTAACTCGTTTGCCCAGTTGGGTCTCAGGGTTGTAGTGTTTGGGGTTGCGCAGTTTGAGGGTTTGGGGGTGTAGGGTTTGGTGTTTAGGGTTTGGGGGTTCTGCAGTTCCACACCCAAAGAATCCTCTGGGCATTGCCACTATGCATTTTTTGCTGTGTGGGGAGTCGATGGGCCACTTTAGGTACAGTTGACCGAAGACGATTCGTGTGCAGAACCTTAGGGTTTAGGGTTTGGGGTTTAGGGTTTGGGGTTTAGGGTTTGGGGTTATATAACACCCCGCAGACTCCAGACTCCCTGAAACCTAAACTAAACATCGGCGCTCCGAACGTGAAGCACCAGAACCTCAAAACCCCTAACACCTCCACGCAGCCTGTGATGAACCAATCCTATCATCAAGCCTAGAAAGTAAGCCTTGATAAGAGTACCCTTTTAAAATTAGTTACTTTTTTATAAGGGAACCTTGAGCCAACAAAAAAGGCAACAGGGTACCACTGGGCTGCCAAGAACCGTACAAGCCTAAGCCCTAACATCTACTTGGCGGATTTGGTCTCCCAAGTTAGGTGCATGGAACAAGCCACGCTCTTGCACAAGTCGTCCACTCCCCCCATGGCTTTTATGCAGGGTTGAGGGGTTGAGGGTTTAGAGCTTCATTGCTAAACCCAAGTGAGGTTAAAGGAAACACCACCTCTTTTGTCGCATGGCCGAAGGTGGAACATAAGAGCCTTCTAGCCCAAATTCCTAAACCTACCTTGAACCCTATACAATAATTGGCTAGGGGAGGCTAGGTATACCTGCTTCAACCCATGCCGAACAAATATGCGGAAACATGAAAGCGACATAAGTATCACAAGTAGGTAGGCCGGAGTTAGGACAAGCCCCGGGAATGATAGGAGTTTAACGTAAGCGCTTTATCTGCATGCATTATCGCAACGAGGGGCCCGAAACCCTAAAGCCCTAGCCCCAGATGTTCCCCTGTATACTAACAGTCCTTAGTAGCGATTACAGTACCCCCCCCCCCCTATGATAATCCCTAACTGTTAGTATAAGGGAGACCATCCCAACCCACTCACCCCATTAGAAACCCTAAACCCCTAACCCTATACACCCTAAACCCCTAACCCTAAACCCTAAACCCGAAACCCTAAACCCCAAACCCTATACCCTCAACCCCTAGAACCCCACACCGGTTCGTCCCACAGTTCACCAATCAACCAATCAAACCGCCGGACGTCACCTCAGCCTCCGCCGCTGCTGCCTCCTCCGCGCGCCGCCTCTCAGACACGGCGTGGTGCCACTGGAGTTAGGGTTAAGGCCCTTTTAGGGTTTAGGGTTTAGGGCCGAGGACCATGTAGGGAACATGCTCCGGAGCTTGCCCAATCCAAAGTTGAGGGTTGCTTATGGGTTTGGGGCTTCCTTAGACTTCCCTAAGCCCTAAGCCCTAAGCCCTAAGCCCTAAGCCCTCAGCCCTCAGCCCTCAGCCTTCAGCCCTCAGCCCTAAGCCCTAAGCCCTAAGCCCTAAGCCCAAAACCGTAAACCCTAAACCCTAAACCGAGTCAGAAGCACCACGTGCTGAACCTTGCGGTGCACCCACCAAGAGCACCAAACGTCGCTAGACGCCAGACCCTCAGCCACAAAAAAACACTAAACCCTAATTTTGGGATGTTGGGTGTAGGGTTTAGGGTGTAGGCTTTGGGGTTTAGGGTTTAGGGTTTAGGGTTCAGGGCTTGGGGTTTAGGGTTTAGGGTTTAGGGTTTAGGGTTTAGGGTTTAGGGTTTAGGGTTTAGGGTTTAGGGTTTAGGGTTTAGGGTTTTAGATTTAGGGTTTAGGGTTTAGGGTTCAGGGTTTAGGATTGTT